GGGTTGTCATTGGAAGTCAAGTCATACAGTGAGATTTTTCGTCGCACCACCACCGTCTGGTTCACGTTCGGGTTCACCGGAGCACCTCCAAGTGGATTCTGCTCTTCAGCCATCGTTGTTTCAGAAAATTTTGAAAAAAAAAAAAAAGGATTTTAGAGATTTGTGTCAGGCTCTGATACCATGAAAGAAACAGAGTCTCGAAAATTTTCTGTGTATTCATTGAGATGCTATAGACATACATATATACTTGAACAGAGATGATCTTTACAAATCAGATCAATACAAATAAGGTAACTACATTGACGACAATGATTGACGCTGATATCTCGGAATCGAAGAATTGATCACGCTACTTGATGACCAAGTCTTGTTAACCAAGATCAGACCACATTCGGTTACGGTAAACCATAACCATCTTCAACATAAAATTTCCGTGTAACATAGATATTAGTATAAATTTGTATAGACATATGTCCTCATGCATAATAAACGTGGCGAAAAGTTTATTGGGTAGGCATTCAAATATAAGGTGTGACAGAGAACAACAAAGAATAAAAGGTTTTCTCTCTAAAAGTGTAAGAAAGATAAAAATATGGCAAAGATTCAAAACTCCGTACGTTAATCTTGGAGCCATAAATCGCTACGTAAATTCTTCAATACCCAATGAGAATACACATTTGTCTTACATACCAATGAATCGATCCTCTAAGATTTTTTTTTTCTTTTTTCGATCCTCTAAGATTAAGTACCTTGGTATGTATATAATACTCGCTAATGCCATTGTTGTAGACAAAGAACTTGATCGCCGCATACACATCTAATGATGGGTCGGTGATACTTGAGTTATCAATTCTTACATAACAATAAACAAGTCCTCTTGTGGTATCGGTGTTTCCGTTTGGGTAGATTTTGAACGTCCTTTTAACGTTCATTAAGCACAAGAATTTGGGTTACAAACTTACAATTAGAAACATATAATGGTCTTTAACGAAAATGACGTACCAATTGAATCCATCGACAGTGAAAGGAAGGGACTCGTAATATCCATTGTTGACTAGCTCCATCATTTTCCCAAAAGACTCGAACGTGACGCTGTAAGTTGTTGGAGGACGTTCTCTTCAATATGGTAGAAGAGAGGCCTTGAGCTTCTCGTGTTTTAATTTGCGACCCTTTAGAGCATCAACAATGGTCGTATCTAGTAGAATCCTTAACTATTAAAATAAAAGAAAAAATGAAAAAAGGAGGAGAGAGTGATAGAGACGTTTCTCTGATAAGAAACGCTTCTTTACGTTTCTTACACATGTCCTTTTACAATTAGTCTAGTTGAAATACTTTTCAATAAATTATGAATATAATTTGTGTTCACACATATAATTGTGTTCACACGGAAATAAGAAACCCAAATTGGGAGACGGACCGTTACTGATGGTCTTAGATTTTAGAAGTTAATTTTACTTCGTATTTAGACATTTTGATATATCAACTTATAGTTTTTAGTAGCAATAAATATTAAAAATTTAACAAGGCCATTGTATTTTTTACGTTTAAACATTTTGATGATCTAAAAAAAGATTAATAATGTTTTTTTTAACATTTCGAATATTTTTAACAATTAAAAATTCTTTTTGATTTTTTTAAAAAAATAATAATGTTGGTGTGGAGCTTTTATGAAGAAAGAAAAATTATATAATATAGTTTTCAATTTTGACACAATTGTTGTAGTCAATCTTTTGCGTACCTTTCTATATATCAGATTCATGTATTCAAATGGAAAATCATGAAAAAAAAAATGTAAGAAAAAGTCAAATACTGATCAATATGAGCCATTGACAATAATTATTGTTCACCAAGATAATCACATTTTGCATACAAATCTTTGGTCCATTTCAGAAAATTGACTCAATATCATAGGTTGTGTTCATACGCTTTGATCATGCACGGCTCAACATTATCATTAAAAGATACAACTATGTATGTATATATGAATCATTAATACCGTCATAATTCATGGAACAGAAAAAAAAAAAAAAAAAAAAAAAAAAATTCATGGAACAGTGTTTGGTCAACGTTTGGAGCAAAGAAGCATCCGTATGGTGGACTTTGACGTACGTTGGGCTTGAATGTTCTAGCCTGATGGGCTTTTATGAATACAAAGGTGGATTTTGTGGCCTTTTATTTTTAGATAATCTGTATGGTGGATTTGGTCCAAACGTTAATTAATTTTCTGTTAGATAAATATGTAACAAAATCTTAATCACCATTTGCTTAAAAGATTTTAATTAATATCTCTATAAATATTCCAAGGTGTTTTTTTTTTAATTTTTTAAATATACCATAATATTTAAAAAGAATATATAGTTAATTCATAATGTTATCATCGGTATGAGATTACAACAATGGTTGTAAAATAAATCACGGGTCAACAATAAAAAGATACATAGTTGCTTTTTTACTTTCATAATCAGTTATCTGTTTTAAAAATAAATTCAACTCTCAGATAAATTAACAATTTATTTTTGAAATATGTGTTTTTAAATTATTGGTTTTAATAATTTATATGTTTGTTGTGTTTATTTAATATATGTGAATACTTAGCTAATAGAACAGGGTTTCTAAAACTAATATTTACTAAAATATACACATTTACAAATTCTACTATACACTAACACACAATGTATACAACTATATTTACTAATATCTCATACTATTCAGAAAGCAACAATTCATTTCTACGATAATACAAAACTTAAATGGTTTAATGTACAAAATAATTCGATTTTTATATAAACTTTGTAAAATATACACGTTATCATTTATACACATAATTAATAGTTTCTTTAAAATTAAAATATAACCAAACTTTAATCTTCAATAAAAGATGTTAAAAAAAAACAAATTTTAACCTATGTGTTAAAAGTGTTAATCTCGTGCAAAGTACAAGTACTGACCTCGTATAATTTTATTTGAGAGACATAACAACAGCGAACACATGCTATTGATTGAATTAAAAACATTACCTTTTTTTACTTATACAAAATCTACATACTGTTTAATCAAGGAAGCCTTTATCTTTTAGGCGTCTTGAAAGTTGTGGGCTAATAATCTTTGATTGTCAACTGCGAATATCTTCCTACCACTCCCTTTATATCCAAATTGTTCACAAGACTCGAATATAGCAGATGCAACGTTAGAATAATCTGCCATATCATCAACCCTGTAATTTTCAAAGTCCCACCAAAATCTTAATATGGCTCTATAGTAGTCAATTTCTTTTTCATCGCTGATGAAGCTAGTTACATGCATTAATGAATGGATTTTTTCCCTCCAAGACAGAACTGAGAGTAAAAGACAATAAATGTAAGAAAAGAATGTTAAACTTAAGTAGAATTTATACATGTGAAGCTGTATCCGGTAGTAATGGTTTTAGTTGAGTTGTTGAGCCAAAGAAGGATTGTACTAGTGCTCGTCCTCAGCAAATCTTCTCCATCCGTGACCTTGAATATCTTCTTAGAAGTATTATGTGTTAAAAAGTAATATTTGTATGGTGATATTTAAAGTTAAAAAGATTTGTCCTCTTTTTTTGTTATCATGGTTATAACCAAACTTATCAATCATCAAATGATATATACGTTATTACGAGTTCTTTCATCATGCTACAAAAAACCGTCAACTTTGATCCGTTTTTGTTATCGTTGTTATAGCCAAACTTATCAACCATCAAATGATTTCTACGTTTATCAAGAGCTCTTTCATCAGATTTAGGCTAATGGATACAAAAATGAAAATTTCATTAAACAAATCAAGACGATTAGATAAATTCTTTAGTCGAAGATGGATCTAGATCATATTATTATCATTTACTATAGATTAATATGACTTTAAAGATTAGAATACAAAAACCTACGGCATCACACATAATACTCCAAAATCCTTTTAAATTGAAATAGCACCATACGAATGTTCTTTTTATTTATAGAAATTCTAACAAATCATAAAAGTATCCTTAGATTTCAGGTTTAATGTATGCAGTAGTACTCATAGCAATTAGCTTAGTATCATTTTCTAAATTCGCATTATTAGATAAATTTGTAATTTTGTTTTGTGAAACTACAGAATAATTTAATCACAAAACATGTAAATATTTAATCTATTATAAAAACTAAATCGTTTGGGAAATAATAGTTATACTTCTTAAATATTTATTAGAGATGTAACTAAACTTCCCCTTCAATTCAATTATTCTTTGTTGGAAGCTGGTAGAAACTTAGGCTAATGGCTACAAAGAAGAAAGTTTCATAAATCAAATCAAGACTATCGAATAAATGGTGTAGTCGAAGATGGGTCTTGATCATATTATTTTCATCTTAACATAAATTGATATGACTTTAAAGAATAGAGAATAAAAACCTATAATATAACACAATACTCCAAAAATCCTTTAAAAATAAATATCAGCATACGAATGTTATTTTTATTTATCGAAATCCTAACAAATCACTATAATATACATAAATTCCAGGTTTAATATAGTTTGTATTGGTCATAGCAATTAGCTTAGTATCATTTTCTAAATTCGCATTATTATATGAATTTCTTTTTTTTTTGTCAAACTTCAAAATAATTTAATCACACAACATGTAATATTTAATCTATTCTAAAAACTAAATCGTTTGGAAACTAATAATTATACTTCCTAAATATTAACCGGAGATGTAACTAAACTTCCTGTCCAATGCAATTATTCTTTGTTGCAAAATGCAAACTGATGGAAACTATTAAATAAAGACTATTCTTTAGGCTAATGGCTACAAAAATGAAAATTCCATTAATAAATCAAGACTATTAAATAAATTCTTTAGTGAAGATGGGTCTAGATCATATTATGTTATTCATAATATAAATAAAATTTGATAACCAATTGGTTTAAATTCCGGTTCGGTTCGGTTCGAGCGGGACCTGATTGAATTTTTTGGTTAGTTGTTTCTTTTGTTGTCTTGGCGAGGGAGAGAGAGAGAGAAGCGGATCGTTAATGGAGAAAAAATGGCTGAGCCAGATTCTGTAAACGAAGCCAAGGAGAAGAAGAAGAAGCTATGGAAAGCTGTTTTCGCTATCTCTGGGATCATGATTACTCTCGTCATCTACGGTCTTCTTCAGGTCTCTCAGTTCCTTTTAGTTTTACCTTCGAATTCGTCTCTCATTGGTCAAATTGATTCAAGAAACGATCTGGGTTTTATCGAATATGTGATTGTAATTGCAGGAGAAGATCATGAGAGTGCCTTATGGATTGAAAAAAGAGTACTTTACGCACTCTTTGTTTCTTGTTTTCTGTAATCGTCTTACTACATCAGCTGTTTCTGCTGCTGCTTTACTGGTAACACTTATCAAATCTTGTCTTGTAGTTTATATTCATACTATCTCAATATACATAAAGAAGCTTAATTTGTGTATTTGTAGGGAAGCAAGAAAGTTTTGGATCCTGTAGCTCCGGTTTATAAGTATTGTCTCATATCAGTAACTAACATCTTAACCACAACATGCCAATATGAGGCCCTCAAGTATGTGAGTTTCCCAGTCCAAACTTTGGCTAAATGTGCCAAAATGATACCTGTAATGGTAAGTTTTATGTAAAGGAGGAAACTTTTGTGTACATGTGAGTTTATCAACACTCTTTAATCTATGTGCTGTCTTTTACAGGTTTGGGGAACTCTCATCATGCAGAAAAAGTATAGGGGATTTGATTATTTAGTGGCGTTTCTCGTGACTCTTGGCTGCTCTGTGTTTATTCTTTTTCCGGTAAAAACACAATCTTTCTAAAGAGATCTCTCCATTAGTTTGTAGTAAGCTTATCTTGGCTGCTCTGTTGTTTATGTACTTGAGTTGTAGGCGGGAGATGATATTAGTCCGTACAACAAGGGAAGAGAAAACACTGTCTGGGGTGTATCCCTTATGGTTGGTTATCTTGGGTACGTATCCGTTTTACTCGTTTCATTGTTGACTTATGAATCTCAATACTCTTTTGGCTCATCCATAATTGGGGTGTTGGTAACAGGTTTGATGGTTTTACAAGCACATTCCAAGACAAACTCTTTAAAGGTTATAATATGGAAATACATAACCAGATATTCTACACAACAATTTGTTCCTCTATTCTTAGTTTTACTGGTGAGAACTTCTCTTTGTGCTTCTTTTGTCTCTTTTATTCTCATTTGTTTGGACTCTGGACCATGTGATGATTAGTTTCCATTACTGATTGATTATATATAAACTTCTGATTTAAGATTCAACTGAGGCCATATGTTAGTAAATCTAAACCCCGTAGATATTAGGAAACGTTCTTATTCTGACTGTGATTCTCTTAGTCCATCAGTGCTTTTCGATATAGAACTCAGCTGCCTTGTATAAACCTCAATGTGTGGACCTAAAAATGCTTGAGAATCAGGTTGACCATGCTTTTTGCTACTCATATGTGAAATTTCTTGATCGATAGGCCTTATATTGCAAGGACATTTACTCCCAGCAGTAGACTTTGTTTCTCGACATAGGGATTGTCTTTTTGACATCGCTTTGCTTTCCACTGTAAGTTTTCAGCTTAGTCATTACATTTATCTTTTTTTTTTTTTTTTTTTTTTTTTTTTTGTCAAAGAGTCATTACATTTATCATGTTCTGGAAAATATATCCAAATCAGACGGGTATGATTGCATTGCAGCAGTGGTCACAACTAACCAGAGATGAACACGTTGTTTTGCAGGTAGCAACAGCCAGCCAATTTTTCATTTCGTACACCATTAGGACATTTGGTGCTCTAACGTTTGCTGCCATAATGACAACAAGACAGGTAAGTTAGTTAGTTAGTTAGTTACTCTGATCTCAACTCTTTGATTCCTAAGCACAATATAATCAAATCTAATTTCTTCTTTGTCTGAAAAATAAAAAGCTTGTGAGCATTATGCTCTCCTGCATTTGGTTCTCACACCCGCTTAGCTGGGAGCAGTGTATTGGATCCGTAAGCTCCTCCAATCCTCTCTTTACTTTGTCTTCCCTCTTTTGTGATCTCTCCTTTTTCCCGAAGCTAAACCCAATTTTCACTGGCACAGGTAATTGTTTTCGGATCTCTATATGCTAAAACCTTAGTGAAGAAGAGATCAGAAAAGCCGCAGGCAGCTCAAGAACTTCCACCGGATGAAGAGGCTCAGCCTCTGAAGGGAAACCCTTAAAGCACAGAGAGAGCCTTATCTTCTCTGATGCTTAAACAGTTACCAGCCAAATCTAATGCTCTCTCTGACTTGGAGGCATCTAACTAACAAAACTAAGCGGTTGAGACGTAGGACGGGTACTCATAGAGCCTAATGTTTGCAAATGCAGTTTCTTGTTTCTTTCTTCTACCTTTTGTGCAGACAAGGAGACCAATGATCAAATTCTTTACTGTTTATTCTAGAGTTGTTCAAATGGTTTTGTAAAATTGTAATGGAATTTTGATATTGTATCAAGAAATATCATAAATTTGTGATACAATGGCTGATTCATATCAACTGAATTTCCCACTCTCAAATTTCTGCCAGTTAATTTCCTTCATATAAACCCATAATTTGATAGAGTGTAGAAGTTTGGTTATTACTGTGTTCATCAGAGAGATTCAGCAAACTCTTCGTGCCAAGCTCGCTACTTTGGACCGGGACATCAACTATTTGCTAACAGCTGCAGAATCAACAAGGAGACACTAATATCATTTCACTTGTTCAGAATCATTCGAGAAAATTAAGGCGCAACTTCAATATCTTCGAAGGAGTAAATTTTGTGATTTACAGTTCTAAACACTTGCAGGTGACATTGCTAAAAAGGACAATGTCTCAGGCTGCATAAGTCAGGAGCAAGCTTCAAGGAGCAGGCTAAAGAAGATTAGAACAGAACCAAAAGTCACAATTCACAGACCATGGACTTTGACTAAGCAAAGATCCCAAAATATTCCATAAAATTTCCATTTTCTTTATAAATCCCCTTTTATCATCTCAAGTACGATTGGCACAATATCTCAAAATCAATATATACAGAGCAACTGAAACATAGTTTTGTCGTACAATAATCATCCTAATTTTGCAAATATTAAACAAATAATGAAATAAGATTCCAAAAAGTGTGACTTGACATTAATATCAACTTCTTTAATCTTCATCCGAATCCTCTTTAGGATATTCTTCATCAATTTCAATTTCAATTGCTTCTTCTCCTTCTTCTTCTTCTTCTTCTTCTTCTTCTTCTTCTTCTTCTTCTTCTTCAAATGCCGCTTCAGCTTCTAGATTTGCTTCATATGCTTCTACCTCTGCATATCCTATTTCTTCACATGCCTCCTCCTCTTCTTCTTCTTCTTCTTCCGCTTCTTCGTCATTCAAGAACTCATGTTTGATCAAACTATCAACAGACCACCTTTTAGATGGGTCTCTCTCCAAACACTTTGTGAGAAAATCCTTTGCCTTATCAGACAAGTAATCAGGGATATAGGGAACAATTCCACTTTTACCAATGAGAGTTTCCCAACCTTCCCAATCAAGCTTACCAAACTCACTCAAAAATCGTTCTCCAGTCAACATCTCAAGCACGGTACACCCAAAAGCCCACACATCCGCACCATAATCCAAAACCATATTCCTTATAAGCTCCGGTGACATAAACCTTGCAGTGCCACTCCTATGATTCCAGCTTCCACCATCCTCAATCCACCATTTCTCAATCGCGTTTCCAAGACCAGAGATCTTAGCCTTAAACCCACAACCGCTAGGCGTGAGTAATATGTTTTTTGGTTTGATGTCGCGATGAATGATCTCATCTTCATGTATACACTTGAGACCAAACAAGATATCACTAGCGTATCTCTTCACATCAACAACTGGTAATCCTCCTTCATGTCTTTTGACGTGTTTCGCAAGGCTTTGACCAGGACAGTACTCGTGAATAGTGTTGAAGTACTTCTTCTTCTCGTTCTTCTCCTCTGTCATCTCATGGCCGTAACAGGAGACGATAAACGGGCTTTTGAGACGTGTTAAGTAATTTTCCTCGTTCATAAGATATGCTGCTTCTGAGAGCTGACTAGATTTGATGACCATCTCGTAAGGAAGATCGTCTTCGTCTCCGTCGGTTGTTCTGACGGCTACGTAAACAGAGCCGTATGAGCCAGAGACGTTTCCAAGATAACGAGTCACCACCCACGAATCACTTTCTGGCTTTCTTGTGATTGAACGGTTCGAAGAATCTGCATCATCGTCTATCACGTTCGTCTCTGATCTGGTTCGTGAATACTTAAACTTCTTGTGAGGACGGTTCGAGTTGTCGTCCTCCCATTGACCTAATCGATCAGAAGATGTTGATGTCGACATCTTTCTCTATCTAGAACTCTATCTCTTTCTATTTTCTCTGAATTGTTGTTATTAAAAAAAAGCGATGAAACAGAGATTGGAGGCGAGACTGCGAGAGAGACCGTATTTATAAAGTGATCTGTGTTTTGTAACCCTTGGGACTCAAGTTTCCTTTTTTCTTTTGGGTTTAGGCAAAAAAAAACAATTATCCAGCTGGCAGCTGTTACACGGTTTGGGTAATATTTCTGAAGCAAAATATGAATTTCCTTTTTTTTTCTTTATCAATTGCCCTCGCTAGTTAAAACTTAAAATTCTAAACAAAATTCAATCAGGTCTCGCCCTGAACCGAACCGGAATTAAAAACTAATTATTTTTTCAATCAAAATCTAATCTCTGTACAAAATGTAGGCTTTTGGGCCCGATATGTTTTTTGTTGGCATTTGGGCCCAATATTTATTAGTTCTTGACTTGTTTTGATTAGTGTCTGTTGTTTATTGACCTTTTCTTATTTGACTATCTGCTTAGAGTCTGCATTTGTTAGAAGCTGATTATCTCTTAATTATATATCTATTAGAAAAAGTAAGCAACGTTACTTCTCTCAATTATCGAGTTTAATTGACACTCAATCCCAAGTTTTTGGAAAATCAGTTACTTCTGTGAAACCGAAACATATTTTCTCTTCAAATAATCATCCTTGTTTTTGCATGAATGTCATATAAATAATGTAACAAGATCCAAAAAAGTGTGAAAATTAACATGATCATCTTTTTATAGGTCATCTTCCGAATCCTTCATCTATTTCAATGGCCACGTCTTCTTCTTCTTTAAGGAACTGATGTTTGAGCAAACTATCAACAGACCACCTCTTACCAGGGTCTCTCTCCAAACACTTTGTGAGAAAATCATTTGCCTTCTCAGACAAGTAATCAGGAATATGGGGAGCAATACAATTTTTTTTTTTTTTTTTTTTTTTTTTAATACCAGGAGGTTCTGGGCCAAAAAGCCCGTAATCCCCCCACGCCCGAAACCACAGCATATAATATTAGTTTCGTCCTAAGCGTCACTCGAACCGGCGACTTCTAAGATTCGCCTAGGGTCTTTACCAGTTGAGCTAACGACACTTGGTAAACAATAAGAGTTTTAGCAATAAATGTTTTCCAACCTTCCCAATCAAGCTTACCAAACTTACTCCAAACTCGTTCTCCAGTCAACATCTCAAGCACGGTACACCCAAAAGCCCATACATCAGCACCATAATCCAAACCATGCCCATCATAACCTCAGGCGACAAAAACCATGACGTGCCTCTCCTATGGCCTAACCCATCACCATACTCAACCGACCCTTTCTTTATCGCTTTCCCAAAACCAGCGATCTTAGCAAATCGGTTATTCTTAAACGCAAGTAAGTTTGATATCACAGTGAATGATCTTCTCTTCATGAAGATACTTGAGACCAACCAATATCTCACTAGCGAAACTCTTCACATCATCTTCCGGTAATTTTCCTCTGTTTCTTTCAATGTGTTTCGCTAGGTTTCTTCCTGAACAGTACTCGTGTAACGTGTTGTAGTAAATCTTCTCGAGTAAAGGATTCTTCTCGTCCTTCTCCACATAGAAGGACACAACAAAAGGGTTTTGTTTTTAATAATCAATCTGAACTTTTTCGATGCAAATTTTTTATAGTAAAAACACATCTATCAATATATTATGATTATTGACATTTAATGTGTCCATATCTAATGTGTCCACATCAACATCCATGTCATCACATTTTATTATTTTTGTAGGCTCTACATATATAATTTATTAAAACAAAAAACAGTAAAAATAAATTAATTCACATACTTTATCTGATCACCTTTCATTTAAAAAAAACAATAATCTACAAAAAATGAATTAAATATGAAAGACGAAAAACAAATATACAACACAAAATGAATAATCTTATCTTACTCATATTTAAATATAAAACTTTTGAATTGAGATTGGAGAAATATAAAATTAGGTAATTATATCTTAACATGTAATGAGTAATTATTTTTAAATGGTGAGAGATAAGAAAACAAAAACTTATCATATATTTTAATGGAATAATAATCAAAAATAAGAGTTAAAAATACCAAATTTAAAGGTGCTGACTTAAAAAAAAAAGTAATTCATTTCTGAAAAATACACATTTAAAATTTGAGAATATATTTGTAAGGTCAAAGTATCAATTCCTGATAAAAATAAGAAGGATTGAGTATATAGTATTTAAATGTATTTTAAAATTAGAATAACTTTTATGATTTCGTAATATACATATTTTAGAAAAATCAACACTAATAATACTATCTAGAATCATAATATACGTTAAATTATATATGTGAAAAGAGAATTTTATATATTTAAAACAGTCAAGATAAAGCGAAAAAATTGACGTTAAAATCTGATGTTTTGAATAGGAATGAGTTTACATATGAAATTTATTGTATACAAAACAATTTTACATCCACCAAAACATAGGGCCTAAATGATAACCGAGGAATCCGGCTGAATCTAGCTGAATTTATTTGTGATTTCTTGCAGAATCTGGCTGAATAATTTAAAGTTCAAATGGTAACTGCTGAATCTGGCTGAATTTTTTGAAAAATTAATTAATCAAATAAACTTATAAAAAAATAATTAGGAAAAAAAATTCCAACAAAATTAGTTAAAAACGAAATATTCTGAAAAATTATAACTTCTAAACAATAAAGTTGAATTTTGAATCAATTTAAAATTACTATAATAGACATATACTCAAATTACTCAAACATAAATATGATTTTGTTTTTAAATGAATTAAATTCTCTAATATATCTAAAAGTTCTTAAGATGACAAAAATTATCGGAGGTTTTAAGTTAATATTTTAAAGTTTTATCAAATATTATTATCATATATTTTGGTGATTTTGGTGAAAATCTAGGAGGGGTTATTGGTTCATGGATTTATATGGAATTAGAAATTTAAACAAAAATCATTCAATCATTGATTTTAAAATCCTAAATAAATTCATGTGTTATTGGTTCTATGATTTATAAATACTAGTTAAAATCATATGTTATTCGTTTAGTTATTTGTTTTTGGATTTGAGAATCCAAATTATGTTTTAAATGGAATTGAATGGAATTGAAAGAGAAAAATAGAAAGATTCAAATCCATGGGTAAACACATGTTATTTCAAAATCCATAAATCTTGATTTCATAATTAATAGAAATTTTCAAATTCTATATGGATTTACAAATTAATAAACCAATAACACCCCCCTAAAGTTAATATATTTGATAATTTAATCAAACATGATTTAAACTATAAAATCTTAAAACTAATTTTTTTTTTTATAATATTTTCTGATTTAGAATTTTTTACTCACAAGTTTTACTATTGAATTTAAATATTTATAGTTACAAAAATAATTTACTTTTTTATTAAAATAAAGAAAAACCTAAAATTCCTCAAGTTTTACTAATTGATGTGACTAGTATTCCTCAAGTTTTCATTAGTGTAAATGATGTAACCAAAGTAAAATTCCACAACTTTTCCTCAATAATTCCTCAAACTAGTGTCACCATTTACACCCATAGTCAAAGAAATCTTAGGACAAAACATTTCCTCAAATTTTTTGATGTTCACTTTAATAAAAAAATTGTGCAACATATAAAAAACGAATTGAATATTCAAAGATAGGAAGGAGAAATGATATACGATATATCTTGAGAACTAATTCACAATCGAATAAATTATATGTGAGTCAATATAAAGTGAAAAGAGAAGATGTCGGGAAGCAACAAGTGAATCATAGAAGATAACGAAAGAAATTGTAGTAAAAAGTGAAGAAATTTTTTACTACTATAGAAAGATAATGCACATAAATAAAGTAAAATAATAAAAAAATCAAATGATTAGATTTAAACTCACAGATCCACATTGATAAAAAAAAAATTAATTAAAATCATGCGGGTACATAATCTAGTAATTTAAATAATCAAGAAAAAAAATTGATCAAAAGTAAGCAAATGTTAAGCAAAAAATGATCAAAACATAAGTAACATTATACAGAAAACTAAGCAAAAAATTTACAAAAACAATTCACATATTCAAAGTTTAGATTCTAAACAAATAGAAACAAACATAAGACCATACTTTGGCTGCTTCTGATAAGTTACCAATTTAAGTTGATAATTAATTTACTGATAAGTAGGGGTGTCAAAATGGATAAAAGTTAATGGATCAATCCAAACCAATCCAATCCATAGATATAATGAATGAGAAATTTGGATACTAATGGATTAATGGATTTAATGGATTAGTGAGTTTAATGAATTAGATTGAAATGGTTTATGTTAGAATGGATTAGTGGATTACTCATAACCAAACCAATAAAAATTAAACATTCTAAATCAAATGTCTAAACCAAATATAATCAAATCAAATGTCAAAACTGATTTTAATAAATCAATGTAGACATGATTTAACTATTAAATCCATGAAATAAATTTTTCCGCCAAAACGTGATTCAACATTTTCCCGCCAAAAATGCAATTCCGTAAAATTTTCCGCTAGAAATGGAATTTCGCATTTCCCGCCAAAAATATGATTCTACATTTTTCCGCCAAAAACGTGATTTCCTATTTTCCCGCCAAAACCGTGATTCCGCATTTTCCCGCCAAAAATGCGATTCCGTGATTTTCCCGCCAAAAAGTGATTCCACATTTTCCCGCCAAAAATGCAATTCCGTAAATTTTCCCGCCAAAATGTGATTCCGTGATTTTCCCGCCAAAAAGTGATTTCACATTTTCCCGCCAAAAACATGATTTCGTATTTTTCCCGCCAAAAACGTGATTCCGTATTTTCCCGCCAAAATGTGATTCCACATTTTCCCGCCAAAAACATGATTCCGCATTTTTCCGCCAAAAACATGATTCCACATTTTCCCGCCAAAAACATGATTCCGCATTTTTCCGCCAAAAAGCGATCCACATTTTCTCGCCAAAAACATGATTCCATATTTTCCCCCGCCAAAAGCGTGATTCCGGATTTTCCCACGAAAACGTGATTCCGTGATTTACCCGCCAAAAACGTGATATCATAACTCATTTATGTCATTAATTATTATTTGTAGCATTATATGATGATAATATTTATTAATTAATTAATTATTTTATTTTCATGGATTAACTCATTTAACCATTAAACCATCAAATAATTGGATTAATGGATTGACTCAATCCATTTAACAAATGAGTTGGATCAACTCATAAACCATTTAAGCCTAAACTCATTGGATTATATATCGGTTTGAATCGGTTTATCCATTTTGACACCCCTACTGATAAGTTACCACATTAAGTTGATAATTCAAGATGACTGTTTTAAAACAGATTGGGGGAGACCAATAATTAATCATCATCTTATTCTAAATCACCAATCTAAACTTTTTCGATGCAAATTTTTTTTTGTTCTTCTCTATATATATAAATCGACCATATAATCAAGTTATAAGATTATTCGTTATTATATATGTTTTTAATGTAATGAGGGTACTTTGTATTATTTTACTCAAATTTTAAACAAAAAAATTAAATAATTGGCAATTAAATCTACTATAGTGATGGTTGTATCATGTTTTTTTTTTTAGATTAGATTAATAAAGCTTGAAAATGTTATTAAAATAAATACTTTGTTTATTAGTGTAGTTCTTTTTCACAAACGATGATACATTTTTACTCTATTTTTTTTTTATGGTCGCCTCCGATGCACATATATGTTAGCACGGCTCTGGCTTTAGACATCAGAATGTGTTCTACCTTCATGAAACAATATTGTGATTTGCTATAATACTCAATTAAATTTGGTGTTTCTATACTAAAGTTATAAAGTCTCATCTCATTTATCCCGCAAGTATGATTTATGCTAATCAAAAATTTCACACACATATTAAATACAGAGTTGAATTCTTTATCTTACAGCTTCATTCTACAACTGTAAAACTAATAATATTTGAATCATAAACTCAAGGTTACTAATCAGACATAAACAAAACCATTATTAAACAATTATACATCCACATTGCAAAAGGGATGGTTCATGAGTGCACCAATCCCCCACCTTGAACCATGATCCCTAACCAAACAACAACTCAGAAAATCTTGTGCTTCTTCAGATAACCAATCCGGTATATAAGGAATGAAACTGCTTAGACCGATGAGACTGTCCCAATCTACAGGACCCAAATCACTGTGTTCTCCCCATACTTCTTGTCCCGTAAACATTTCCAAAACCGTGCATCCGTAAGCCCAAATGTCAACAGCGTAATCAACTATCCCGTGGCGTATAAGCTCCGGAGACATGTATCTAGTTGTGCCTCTCGTATGACCCGGTGCTTTTTCATACTCGCTCGACCCCTTCTCCAATGCTAAACCGAAATCTCCAATCTTTGTCACATACCCATTAGGTCTTATCCGGTTCTCCACAGGGGATAGTAAGATATTTTCCGGTTTAATGTCACAATGAATAATATTTTCCCTATGGATGTAGTTGAGACCGTTAAGGATATATCTAGCAAACATTTTCACATCTTTCTCTGATAATCCTCCTATGTTATTCTCGATCAAGTCGGCAAGGCTTTTGCCGGAGCAATACTCGAGAATCAAATTGTAGTTCGTTCTCGATCCACCGAACAGAGTCTCCTCAAGTGCAATCTCGTGGCCATAGCAACGAACAACGAAAGGAGATAAGAGACGGGTTAATATTCTTTCCTCCTCCATAAGACTTGAAGCTCGTGAAATCTCTGCAGATTTTATCGCCATGATTGTTTTACCTTTGTCTTTCTTACTTGTCGCTAGATAAACCGAACCATAAGAGCCTCTTCCAAGGAACTCAGACTTGATCCAAGAAGAAGACTTTCTCACTACTCCATCGAATACTTCTTTGGTTATCTCTTTAACGCTTCTACTACTATTACTCTTCTTCTTATTTTTCAAAAGCGGCGGTGTAAATCTCCCCCTTTTCTTGTCCTTCGTGTTAGGTATATGAAGAATGATCGGAGAGAGTTTTAGAGTGAAAATAGGGTTTTGAGGCAGAGGAGGGATCATCGTGTTGTTGCTTGATGAATCAGAAATCTCTATGACGCTCTTCGTCGGTGAATATTTAGGCTTTTTGAGAGGTGGGTTTGAGTAATCGTTGAACTTAACCTGACCATATCGATAAACAGACATGGAAAATTCAGAATTCATCTCCATTCTTCTTTCTGCAAAATTCTCTGATAGTGAAACAAAGACAAGAAGGCAAAAGACTTTTTTTTTTATAGGCTTCTGTTGTGTTTTCCTTTTAGCTTTTGGTGTTGTTCATTTGACCTAGTCAACGTTAGAGTTTCCTTTTTTTTCTTGAGTGGATTTTGCTTAACTAATTGCGAATTTAGTTAGATTTATCAACTATCAACGGATCCGCGTAAAAGTGATAATCATATCATGTTCGCACATGCCACTCGTAATCTCCAAATATATGATTTTTTTATTTATTTTTTCTTAATTTTTTTCAATATAATTGTAATAGTCAAAACTATCCATTATTAAACCAAGTAATCCTTGTATAATGAGTAACACAAGTTTAATATAACTAAATATATTATAGAAGAAGCTTACATGCCTATATCATATGGGCTATATGAGACCAACAACCAATAGAAGAAGCATATCAGAACATTGAACCTAATAGGTTTTACATTTTCCTTTTCAACATGCCTTTTATATTTGTACATAGTAAATCGACTTAAATGTTGGATATTCATTTTGCATTAAAGGAAAGTTATAAAAAAAGCTCTTGATGATTGATCCCAGTTAAAATTTAGACAAGTCTACATCTAATCGTAACTGAGATAGGGATGGCTGACGAGTTCTCTGACCCCCCACCTTGAATCAGGATCCTTAACTAAGCATTTCCTCAGAAAATCTTGTGCTTCTGCAGGTAACCCACTCGGTATATGAGGAATGAGATCAGTGTGACCAATTAGATTGATCCAATCTTCTTTAGTTAAATGACCATACTCTCCCCAAACTTGTTTCCCGGTTAACATCTCCAAAACCGAACATCCAAACGACCAAGTATCAACATTAAAGTCCACAATACCATGGCTTATTAGCTCCGGAGCCATATACCTTCTAGTACCTCTCTTATGACCCGATCCATTTCTATACTCCACCGACCCTTTCTCTAATGCTAAACCAAAATCCCCAATCTTGGCTATATATCCATTAGACCTATATCGGTGATCAAGAGGGCTGAGTAAGAGATTGTCGGGTTTAATGTCACAATGAATAATGTTTTTTTCGTGAATATGGATGAGACCACACAGAACATCTCTAGCGAACAGCTTTACATCAAACTCCATTAACCCTCCGTGATTATTCCTGATCAAATCTCCTAGACTTTGGCCAGAGCAATACTCAAGTATCAAGTTGTAACGATGACCATTTCCTTCACGTACCATCTCATCGCCGAAATAGCTAATCACATAGGGAGATTGCAATCCTCTTAGGATCCTTCCCTCGTCGATGAGACTCAAAGAACGTGAAATTTCTGCAGTTTTGATTGCTCTCTCTTCGTTCTTATATGTCGCTAGATAAACAGAACCATACGCCCCTTTTCCAAGCAACCGAGATTTGACCCAACACGAAGACTTTTTTACTAGTCCACCCTTGGTGGATGATCCTTCGCTTATCTCTTTGCTACTACTAGTACTCTTCTCCAAAGGCGGCGGTGTTGAGCTCCTCTTTCTCTTGTTCTTCGAACAACGTTGTCGATGAAGAATGGTCGGAGATTGTTTTACAGCCAAAGTAGGGGTTTGGGGAAGAGGAGAGGTCATCGTGTTGCTTGATGAATCGGATATCACGATGCCGTTCTTCGTAGGTGAATATTTGGGCTTTTTAAGAGGCGGGTTCGACAAATCGTTGAGCTTCCTTTGACCATATCGTCTGTAATAAGCGGACATGGAGATCCTAGAATCCATCTCGCTTTCCCTGTAAAACATTTTGATAGTGAAGCAAAGAAAAATGGTCAAGAGCCTTCCCTTCATTTTTTTAGTGTAATCAATTTATAAAATAAATAAAAATACTGAAACATTAAGCAAGAAAATTTTGAGGAAATAAAGGATACCTCACCTTCAAAAATGGAGTCAATAAAAGACTACTAATGAATAAACAAAAACTGTGTCTCTTTTACAATTGGTTTGCTTTGATCATTTGCACGAGCTTTTATATTCATGGAACTAAAAAAATAAAGGTGACTCTAGAGGAAGAAAGTATTCAATGTATATATATCCAAAATTTTAAAGTTAAAGAACAAAAAAAATAATCCTATGTTTAGGTAAGTAAATAAAAAAATATAAATTTTAGGTAAATGTATTTTGTTTTTCAGTCAACTTCAAACTTTTGGTACGTTATTAATTTTGTAAATCCGTTATTTTGGCGCGTTATTTATTTATAATAAACTAACTTTGGCGCGTTATTGATTTAGTATTGAGTCTGGTGTCTAAGAAGTAAGAACCAATTTACATTATTTCCCCAAACGTTATAGGATGCATTATTAATGTTAACTTTATTATCCCTATCATATTGAATTTTAAACATAGATTTTTGCCACTTATCTGTCGGTCTTCATATATATCAATATCATATGTTAATTAATATTTCAATTTCAAATCATAATTACAAAAAAGTTAACACAAACAAATCAATAAATCTATTTATATGATTAAGTTATCCAAAGAAAAAAATGATCAAATATACTAACCTTTTAAGAAAGAGAAAAAAATATACTAACCTTTTAAGATGTTTGGATTAGAATCCAAATCTGGTTATTGGCAAGTTGATTTGTGTAGAGTTTGTAGATTTTTAAAGTTAGGGATTTAAAGAGTTTCGAAGATTATTATAGATTATTATTAATGACTTTTATGAGTTTTCATGGATTACAAAGATTTTTTTAAACTTTTTAAAAAATGTTTTTGCAAAGTAATATATTTTTATGTTTCCATATAAATTTCCCAAATGTAATCTCTTTGAAATTTACATATATTTAATATAACTTTGAAGAAAGTCTTTTTATGTGTATAAATAATAACTATTTATTTTTAGTGATCCATATTTTTTGTTTATTTCCCATTGGCATAACGAATTCTGGGTTTTTAATCTTTCATTAAATGTATATTGAATTATTTTTATAAAATATAAACAAAGTAATGAAATTTGTATTTCTTACAATTCTGGGTATATCGGTAAGTGTGGTCCATGTTTATTGTTTTGTAAATATTTACATCTAAAGATTTTGTGTTGTAAAGATTTACTTATAAAATTATGGTTATATCAAATATGGATTTGTGTGTGTGGTTTTTTGCATAAATTGTAAGACTCTCATGTATATCCATGAGATTTTGAGAGTTGTGTCGTATGAGTAAATATATAGAGAATCAATAACACTGGATTTTAATAGAAGTATAGAGTCAATGATTATTGATCACTAAACTTTTTGAATAACAAAAGATTTTGAACACAATTTAAAAGTCATTAAACCAGTAACATTAGATTTCATTAAGAATGTAAGATTCCATGAACTAATAACAATGGAATCTATAAACTATTGAAGTCCGATACACCGGAGATATTAAATCGGAGAAGAGAACGAAGGAGAGCTCAAATTTAGATCTAACAGAATCTTTATTAACATGTAAATGTTGACCAGGATTAGATTTAATGTACCTTAGAACTTTGTATGTTGCATGTAGATGAACATCAGAAGGAGCTGAAATGAATTGACTCAGTTGATGGACTGCAAAAGTGATATCAGGTCTTGTTATAGTCAGATAAAGCAGTCGGCCAATGAGTTCTCTGTAGGTTGTTGGATTAGGTAGCAAAGTTCCCATGTCTTTAACCAAATGAACTGTAGGATCCATGGGAATAGAGCTTGGCTTGCAATTCAGTAGACTTGCATCCTCCAACAAGTTTTGAGCATATTTTCTTTGACAGACAGTAATTCTCTTTGATGATCTTGCTATTTCCAATCCAAGGAAAAATCTTGCAGGACCTAGATCTTTGATCTTGAATTCTGAACGCAATAAGGACTTCAATTCCTCCACTGTTTCATCATTGTTGCTTGCTATCATAATGTCGTCTACATAGACTAATACCACAATAAAAGAATCTGAAGTCATCTTGACAAACATGGTATTGTCAGCAGGTGATTGAATATAATTTGCACCCAGTAAAACAGAAGAAAACCTCTTGTACCACTGTCTTGAAGCCTGCTTAAGTCCATAGAATGACTTAAGAAGACGACATACTGGATTAGGTGGTAAAGAACTTCCATTAGGCGTAGTGTATCCTTGAGGTAAACTCATGAAAATCTCTTCATCTAATTCTCCATGTAGAAATCCATATACCAATAACTCCCCTAGGGATATTTTTCAGATATCTATAAAAATATCATGATTAGCAGGAGTAATTTTGTCATTTTCTTTTAGGTTAAAATCCAAGAGACATATAAACCATCTTAAATTCATGCTGAAAAATGTTTAAATTTAACCATACAAGAGTAAATTAATCTCAAATGTTAAGATGTTGGAAAATTTTAAGATCCGGATCCGGATATAAACCTTAAAATCACCATATCCGGATTCGAGATTTTACTATCTTGATCCTATCTCGACCATTCTCGAGATATATATATATTTATCGGATTGGAGTGGATTCTATATATATGGGATTTCAGATACTAAATAATAACTCCACCCTAAGAATACAGACAAGATGATGTACTTTCATAACTTTCTTGTCCAAATTTGCTTATTAGTTACCTTAATTAATGAAAATTTTCAACAATTGTTTGTTGATATATTAAAGAGAGATATCACCAAAAAGAAACATAGAAAAAATTCTGAAAATTGAAATGTAGTTTACTTTAGAATTAGAGTCTTGACTTGTATACTTTGACAAAAAAAAAAAAAAAAAAAAGTAGTATCACAAGACTTATTCTTATTCATTATAGACACAAACTTAAGCTTGTTACTTACTATACAAGTGATGATTACAGAGTCCAGACTTACGCTGTTTTTGTGCTCATCAAACAAAACTATTACATTCGTTAGGTATTATTGTATTTATTAAAGTATTTATAAGTTATATAACATATATATAAAACAGATTTATCTCAATGAATTAAATCTTAATTTTAACCTGGCGACCATGGTGATCTACTGTGTTGGAAACAGAAAGGAAACTGATCCTTTGCAAAGGAAGACGACATCTTACTTTTATCTGCATCCATGTTCCATATAGAATCCAATGAGCTTTCCCATGTTGGAGAAGCCAGAGTTGGGTAACTTAAGCAATGGCTTTGTTCTGAGTAGATGTCTTTAACCGGTTTTATTATGTTTACTGCTGAGTGATCAATCTCTCTCCATATATCATCCATAGAGTATACGTCTTCGGTTTCTTGACTCATCATCTCACCCGTGGATCGGGATCCTCCAGTGTCGTAAAAGCTCACTTTCCCTGAAGATTTCCGCGAGTGGCACGATGTATCTTGAGTATTGGTGGTTGTAGTGGTCATAGATGAAGAGCTGCAGTTGGAAAATGAGGAAGTTGGGGAAACAGGACGTTTCTTTTCTTGAGCTTTCTTCCTCATATGAGTCCTCCAGTAATTCTTTATCTCGTTATCCGTTCGGCCCGGTAATTTTCGGGCTATTTTAGACCACCTGCATAGATATAGATGGAAATTTTTTAAGTATCAATAATACTTGTTACAACAATAACTTGAGATTCAAGTAACCATCTTTTTGTTTCTTTCTTAGATGGATCAGACCTGTTTCCCCACTTTGCGTGAAGCTCAAGGACGAGGCGCTCTTCTTGTGGCGTCATCTTGCCGCGTTTGAGACCAGGATGAAGGTAATTAACCCACCTTAGCCTACAACTCTTTCCTGTTCTGTTCAAACCTACAACCAAAACTAGCTCATTAATGGTGGCTCCTTACCTATTCTTATCTTTCTCCCTCCACCTTCAAACCTGATACTTTTGCTATAAAATCCCATCGTCGATCTCCAAATAAGTGAACAAAATTTACCAGAAGTATGTCCTCCTGTTCTGTCCATGGACCTTTCCGGTTCTCCTCTTGCATCATTTTCATCTCTCTCTTTAGCTCTTCTTTATCTCTCTCTTGTTACTAAAAAGTTATTTCTCAGCTTGCTTCACCATGGCATCCTCTGGCCACTATATTTATAAGGTAAAATTTTTAACACTGTGGTGTGTCTACACGATATCACACTCGCAATATTAAATCTCTAATGATTTCTTCTTTTTATTCCAATCCTTAGAGCAACCCCAATAATGGTTTTTTAACTAAGTCTCTTAACATTAAGACAACAAAAATATAATTATTTAATTGTGTGGGTTTCTTGAACAGTGAAGAAACTCTCTCTAAAATTTCTTATATTAGGTACTTGGACATACTTTGGAGAGAGTTTCTTCACTATTCAAGAAACCTACACATTTTTTTATTAATACATTTTTTCTCTCTAAAATAAGAGACTTATGTTTAGAAACCATCAATGGGGTTGCTCTTAGTGTCTATATGTTTGAGAGATTATCCTATTGAAAATGTAGGGTCTCTTTATAGTGATGTCACAAGGCCATTATATAAAAAAAAACTTGATCGTTAAAGAGTGTTATTGGTGTTACTGATGTAACACTCCCATTAATTCTGCTGCCTTTTATCTTTTGTGCCGTGTGGATAATAAGAACTCTTTCTTATATTTTTTGGAAGGCACTATCTCGAATGTGGATTTCAATAGCATCAGAAAATCTCCTAAATCAATCCAAAAAAGAAGAAGGTATGGTCTTCTATATATAGTTTCTTGTTATTTAAAGTAGAAAAACTCTTAATATAAATTTTCTATGGGTGTTAAAAATAGTATAAATTAAGACCCTAGATCTTTCTTCACCTTTTTTTTTGTGGGGATATGAGAGAAGTGTCTCTTGACTTTATATTAAGGGTTATATTGGTAGAAACTGTTGAAGCTTAGAAAAGGAAAAGAGAGAAGAGAAACCGACAAAAGCTTGGACAGCTTTAGAAGTCAATTGTTTGTGGGAGCTTGCACTACAAGAAATATGTTCATCGTTAGCGCGAAAAATCTGCTATAATACATATTACATAGCGAATTCACAAATGCTATGACATCGGCAGCTATGGTAGGTTTTCCACCTACGATAGCGTTTTCTGACATGCTATTATACGTCGATCAATTATAGCGATAGTAAAATGATCTAATATGCTATATTATAGCATACGTTTAGTGCTATTTTATATTGTAATGTAGCATTTTATATTTGCTATATAAATTTGATTGGTTTTATAAATAATTTTTATATTTGAATCCTATTTTGCAAAATAAATTTAATTAGATTTATAATATACTTTTTATATTTCATAAATCATCAATCATCAACAACAAAACAGTAATATTACATTATCCATCCTTTTCATAACATCATACCTAAGTTTTAAACAAAATTAATCTAACACCAGAAAGACAAACTTCAATCATGTCTCCTACTTTCTTCTTGAACATAATCTTCTCCTTCTCTTTCTTGAAGTCCTCAAAGTGTCCAACTTTAGTAGGTTCATCATTACTCAAGACATGTCTTCTCAACACAAAACTCTACGTCGTACACATCTACGTCTTTAAAGGTTGCAATCGTAGTCCTTATTCATTCTCCTGCATTTTCCCAACAAAGAGACGTTACAAGTCAGAGATATTGAACACAAATTTGATTGATAAAAGGGAATATCCATAGACTCTAAAAGATACTTTGGCATCCTTCCACAATGTATTTCAATGGGAACTTATATGCCAATAAGAAGAGGAACTAGTAGAGCAACAAAGCTAAAATCAATCTAAACTCAGAAACCAGAATTGCATACCTTTATTGATGAATCGAAGAACCCACCAACAACCAGAGATCCATCATGAGATAAAGATGCACAATTTGACAAGAGGACCTTCAAGTTTACTAGAAAAACAACCATATCTTTCATCAACTTAATGTTCCAGAGATAAAAGATATTTCAAATAACTATCTCATAATACAGCAAGGTAAAAGGGATTGACAATTTGACAGTCAAGAACTTCCTACAGGTAACACCCACAAAGCAATCATAAGTTACCTTTTTATTCAAATAGAAATCAAGTTCAGATTCTTCTAATAGTGTTAATTATGCAGGAAAGACTTTGTTTGGTGGTCTAACAACATTAATTTCCACAGAAAAAGATAGAAGTAGAACAAGTGAGTCAGTGAACGTCATATTTGTGTATTTATGAATTGAGAAATGTATTAGTTCTTACTATATTGCTTACTTGGTCACTAGTTCAGCTACAAATAAAAAATATACAAAGTTGTTAGTTCTTACTATATTGACACTGAAGTGAAACTAAAAGAGAAGAAGTAGTACCAAAAATGCAGCCAACAGACCACATATCCACCGCATTTGAGTGATAGGTTGCTCCAAGCAGAATAGCCTCAGCTGAAAGATAACTCTCAATCTCGCATTTACTAAATAAGAAGCTTAAAAATACAACATTCAAACAAGAATTGTCAAATTAGAAACATATCACTACAAACAACAGTTAGATTGAACATATGCCCAAAAGAGTCAGAATCTAATGAGAAGTTATTTCCAGTTCCCTAATAGGAAGAAGTGAATCCAGAGAATGATACATAATAAACAAGACATGATTTAGTTAAATGCAAGGGCTGATTAAGTTTATTCTTCTTCAAAACACTTAGGAAGATTCTCAAAGTAAAACGAATAATTCTTAAAGAGATAAGTAAGGATCTAATCCTCATTTGAAAGAAAAAGCAAAATGGAAGAAGCTAATCAGTCACATAGCTTCAAATCTAGGGATATGCCGAGAACAAAAGCTAAAAGTCAAACGTTTAGGGGAAAAGGCAAAGAAGAGAACCTAACGCCATGGAGGAGGGCTTGTAATGCAGTAAGAGATATCTGTAAGCTGTTCTTTCGTCGGATGTTGCAGTGGATCTCCACCCGATTTCGGCGTTGACATCTTCAACCTTTGCAGCAAATAAAAATCAAAACTTTTAAACCAAAACCTTCACAAATCGAGAAAGTGACTAAAACCCAAATCACAGAAGAAGCAAGAGCCACGAAATTTGAGCAAAAGAACCCATGTACAAAGACTTCGTTTTAAGCTAAACCCACAATTGCAACAAAAATAAAAACCAAAGCTTTACACCAAAAACATCACCAACCCGAAAAGTGACTGAACCCAAAATCACAGAAGAAGCAAAAGCTACGAAATTTGAGAATGGAGGATGGATAATTTATAGAATTTAAGAAGAAGAAGAATTTAGGGATGAGAGCGATAGTTACAAAGAGTGATAGAAATTGATAAAATCCAGTAGATCCAGATTCGTATAATCATAGCCTCACAGGAAGAGAGTGAAGAGGTAAAGGAGAGCTAAGGAGATGGGAGAATAAAGGAAGAATCGAGGAAGAGAGCGAAGAGGTAAAGGAGAGAAAGGGGATGGAGAAGATAGAAATTAGGGTTTGATTGTTAATTTGAGTTTTTTTTTTTTTTTTTTTTTTTTTGTCTAAGTTGTTGGCGGTTTGGGCAAAATTTTTGCTAAATATTGGCGGTATAAGTAATTTTAGTTTCCGGTCTGCTATTATAGGGTTTAGCGTTTCTAAAATGCTATAATATCGTTATAAAAATCCGAGTATCATTTTTAATAGCATTAACGAAATCCGTGCTATTATGTTGTGCTATCAATGTCCACTTTTTTTGTAGTGTTGATAAGTGAGTTTTTGTATCTAGTAACAGTACCTGAGATAGGAATTAGATACTTTCTTAAGATCTTGTGTTTGTGGCTTGTAATTTTTTCAGCTTGGGCCTGCGAATTAACATTGTCCGAATACACGCGCGCACACACACTATTGAAGTTAAACTTGATTTTGGTTTAAGCTTAATTATGGGTTTATAATTCAATATTCTATATTGAACAAAACCCAAAGTTAAGCCTAAGTTCTAGATTTCTCTAAAGCATCATCGAAAAATCACCACCTCCTTATGTGTTATAGAGAATTCTATTAGATAGATATCTAGATAATTATGTGAAATAATCTAGAAAGTTGTAAGATAAAATCTAGATATTTTAGTAGAGTTATAGAGATGATGGTAGAATAATCTAGAGACTTTGTAAGCTAACTTTGGAGGCTATAAATACCTCCTCACCTTCTCATTTGTAATGAAGTTGAAGGAATTTGAAAATTTGTTTGCTTCGCAAGAATCACTAGCGGTACAAATGGTGGGAGTTAAAATTCATGATGACTCGGGGAGAGCTTTTGTAGCTAGGAGGCAACACAACTTCAAGAGCCAAATCCAATGATGGTGGTCCAAGAAACAATGATGGACATGAAGGATCTTCTAAGGGAGATAAGAAGAAATTTAAGTGCTATCGGTGTGGAAAACTTGGGCATTTTAAAAAATATTGCCGAGTCAAGCTGAAGGAAACAAACATGGCGGAATCAAAAAGTCCTAATGAAGACGAAGAATGGGAAAAAAAATTTACGGTGGAGGCTACATCTTTAAGTACATCTACACCTAAGAAGGTGGAAAGTAATTGGATCGTAGATTCTGGTTGTAGCCATCATATCACCGGAGATGAGAAATTATTTTCTAGTCTTCAACGCCATGAAGGAAAAGAAGCAATCATTATCGCGGATAATTCAATCCATCACGTTGAGAAGGAAGGAACGGTGGTCATCAAAGGAGATGATGGAAGCCCAATCACTCTCGAGAACGTTTACCATGTTCCTAGAGTAAAAAAGAATCTTCTCTCCGTGATAAATGCGGTGGACTCAGGTAATAAAGTTTTATTTGGCCCAAGAGATGTTAAATTCTTAAAAAATATACAAGAGTTAAAGGCGGACATGGTTCACACTGGAGCACGGGTTAAAGATCTGTATGTTTTATCGGCGTCAAACTCTTATTTGGAGAAGATGAGTACCAACGATAATGCTTTTATATGGCATGCTAGGCTTGGTCATATAAATATGACTAAGCTCAAGGTTATGGTAAATAAAGACTTGGTTAACGGGCTCCCAAAGTTGAAGATCCAAGATGAAGGCACACTTTGTAAAGGATGTCAATATGGAAAGTCTCATAGACTTCCATTTGACTATTCCACTTCAAGGTGCAGTGTTCCGTTGGAAAGAGTCCACAGTGACTTGATGGGTCCAACAAGAACACCCTCATATTTCGGGTATTGCTA